CCAAGAACAACCCATCTGCTGGAACTTGATCTCCGATTTTCAGGCAAACAATATCTCCGACAACGATGTCAAATATTGAAATCTGTTGCCGCCTGGCGCCTCTGATGACATCAATTTGGATGTTGTTGCTGACTTTAGACAATTTGTCAAACTGTCTGTTCTGTCTGTAGTTGCTGATGGCAGAGACGGCAATGACCAGAAAAACAGCCACAAAAATACTCCCACCGTCATACCAACCGTCTTTCAAGCCATTCTTCTCAATGCCAAAACCAAGAGAAAGCGCGGCACACCCGAGCAGGATTAAAATTGTGAGATCCTTGAAAGCTTCCACCACAAAATAGAAGAAACTCTTGGATGGCGGTTTTTTGTAGGTGTTGGAACCAAATGCCTCATGTCGGCGAGCAATGTCCTCATCACCGCCATTGATTCCACCATCCAGGCTGGTTTCCAGGGAAGAAGCTACCCCATTCACTTCGCCAATTTCTCGAAGCTTCTCAAGCTTTTTCTCCTTCACAACGTCGGTGAGAGTGGCCTTATCAATTTTGAAACAACTGTTTTCGGATGGAATTGTGAGAATGACATGAGAAGGAATGGGCGAAGCCTTGATTGTTTTCTCTTTGGAAACATGATTCTTGACGAGAGAAAACAGAGTTCTTGAGCAGTAGATGGTGACAAAGGTCAATTGCCATTTTTTGTTGTGTTTGTTGAGGGAGGCAGGGGCATTAAGCAATGGCTCAGTGCAGATTTTGTTTGCTGGTTTGAGAATAGCAGACATGAATTTAGATAAGCAGAGAACAAGAATAATGTATATATATGATGAATTAAAGAAGGAAAAGAAAATCTTTCTGCCAAACAAGAGCAAGAATCAAAGAAAAACAGAGCAAGAAGCTGGTGTACAACTTAATGGAAGAAGAGAATGTAAGAGTAATTTTTTTTTTTTTGCTAAAAAATGTAAGAGTAATTTAAAGAACAAGAATAATGTATATATATGATGAATTAAAGAAGGAAAAGAAAATCTTTCTGCGAAACGAGAGCAAGAATCAAAGAAAAACAGAGCAAGAAGCTGGTGTACAACTTAATGGAAGAATATAATGTAAAAGTAATTTTTTTTTTTTTTTGCTAAAAAATGTAAGATTAATTTAAAGAACAAGAATAATGTATATATATGATGAATTAAAGAAGGAAAAGAAAACCTTTTTGCGAGACAAGAGCGAGAATCAAAGAACAACAGAGCAAGAAGGTGGCGTACAATTTGATGGAAGAATGGGAGGTGGGTATAATTTGATGGAAGAATAGAATGTAAGAGTAATTTAAAGAACAAGAATAGTGTACATATATGGTGAATTAAAGAAGGAAAACAAAATCTTTTTGCGAAGCAAGAGAAAGAATCAAAGAACAACAGAGCAAGGAGGTGAGTACAATTTGATGCAAGAATAGGATGTCCACCGCGCTTTTATAGAGCTCCTGGGATGGGGGATAGTTATATATCTTCACCATGAGGCTATATGGAAACTGCTTTCCTGTTTCCTGGAAAGGTTAATCAGAAGGGATTGCCTAGAAATTCTTATTCGGTTTCGATTGATATTACAGGTATTGGATTCTCTTCTACATATAAATGCCTGCAGTATTATGCGTTTCGACCGCAGTTAGGCGGCTACATGGTCTATGTTTTTTCCTTGAATGTGTTCTACGATTTTGTTTGGGGAAACGACTTAGAGGCTGATTGGTGTG